GGAGAGACGGGTAGAGCATTGGATCAGGAACCATTGAATGAGGAATCCAGGTCTGGAAGCCCTTGGAACTCCACTCGTGTATTGGCCATGGATATCAACGCCGCCCTCATCAAATAAGGGATCCTGCAGAGCCTGTTGACGCCTGGACACATCCCTGAAGGAATGCATCCACCCACCATACTCCTGGCAACCTCTCCAAAGCCACTTAAAAGCCTCTCGGAACCGTCGTGGGGAAGCCTTTGGAGTGCGCCTGGGGCATCCTTAGGCCGTCCTGGGCGGCCTTGCAACCGTCTGGGAGGGTCCTTAGGTCGTAACGACGACGACGGATGACGACGACCGACGACGACGACGGCGACAACGACAAGGACGACGACGACGACGACGAATGACGACGACGACGACAACGACGCTCAAGGACAATCGACCGACAGACGACCGACGACGATCGAACGACAGACGACCGACGAGCGACCGACGACCAACGACCGACCGACCGACCGACGACCAACGCCGACGGGACGGGGAGGGAGATTCGGGCTAGCTGGAAAGGCCCAGCGAACGTATTGGGCCTGTTCTGGGCTGATCTTGAACCGTGTCCGGGGACGTCCTGAGAATGCCTTTCGCCGTCCTGGGGCCGCCTTGCGCTGGTCTTAAAGATTCTGTGGACATCTCGGAGCCGGCAGGGGCCTCGTGTGAGCTTTTTGGGGAACACGCGTGGGCCCGTGCTATGCTGACCCTGGGGGGGCCCAGAGAAAGCGTCATAATGAAAAAATGCGCTGTGAACATTTGCGTGATTCGCGGTCTTCCTGCAAGCTCGGGAGAGCTTCTCCGAACGCCAGACAGCAGGCCGACGCCGCGAGAGAAGTTGGGCTTGCACCACGCAATTTGCACCACGCAGCTTCAGCCATGGACATATTGTGCACCACCTGGATGTCACTGTAGAGTTTGCGACACAGTGAGTGTGCACCACGTAACAAACACCTCCCGATAATCAACGATCCCCCCTTTACAACTGACGGTTTTTATCCACGGACAATACAATTTTGGTCAGGGAAGAGCGGCGGCAAGGTCGAACTTGTCTATCGCTGGGGAAAACTGCGAATCGGAGTTGCTCTCTTCTTATGTTGAGTAGCAGAGACTCATAATCAGAATTCCGAATGATTTCCTCCGGAATCCGATGGATATCCGAAAAAATCCCATGGATGCCCTATGGATCGCGATGCATTTCCGAAGGAATCCTAAGGACGTCCGAAGGAATCTTGTAAATTTCGCACGGGGTCCGAAGGCAATCTTTTGGATGTCATGAAACATCCTGCGCGTCTCCTGCGGAATATTGTGGGCTTCCTCCGGACTTATACAATGCCTCCGGAAATCCATCGGATTCCTAAAGAAATCTATAGGCATCCTTTGGAAATCCATATGAAACCTTTGAAAATCCATAAGGTTCCCTCGGAAATCCACAAGTGTCTTTAGGAAATCCAAGCAATTCCTGAGGAATCCATGGGATTCATTCGAAAAACCAAATGGTTCCTTCGGACATCCCTCGGATTCCTTAGGGAATCCCTAAGATTCCTCACGAAATCTATCGGACGCCTTTAGCAATATGTATGTATATATATATATATATATATATATATGTATAGATATGTATATATACATATATATATATATATGTATACATATGTTTATATAAATGTGTGTGTATGTATCGGGATAATCGGATATATTCCAAAATCGGGATGTGTGTGAATGTATCGGGATAATCGGGATAAATGTGTGTGTATGTGTATCGGATATAATCGGAAATCCATCAATTCCATATAAGAACCCTTCGGGACTCCATAAGTGAATTGGATGCCAAATCCATAGGAGTCCTTCGGAAATCCAAAATGATACCGGAGAAAAACGCCAATCAGAATTTGTTTGGGGCTATAGGGCTATTGGGCTATAGGGCTATAGGGCAATAAGGCTATTATAGGGCTATAGGGCTATAGGGCGATAAGGATATAGAGCTATAAGGCTATAGGGCTACAGGGCACCAAGCACCCGGGCACATGGCACCAGGGCACCCACCCGGGCACCGGGCACCCGTCACCCGGGCACCCGGGCACCCGGGCATCCGGGCACCCGGGCCCGGCCACCGAATCGGCGGCGAACCCAGGCACCCGGGCACCCATGCATCCGGGTACCCGGGCCCGGCCACCGAATCGGCGGCGAACCCGGGCACCCGGGCACCCGGGCACCCGGGCACCCGGGCACCCAGGCACCCGGGCCAGGCCACCGAATCGGCGGCACACCTCACCTACCCTTAAATCCGCTAGGACCCCTACAGAGGCCAGCTCTGATTGGGGAAGATTCCTTAGGCAATCCATCACATCCGTTAGGACATACATACCTCAGGACATCCATGGAACTTCCTCTGGACATCCATTGGATTCCTGAGGAAATCAAATGGAATCCTTTAGAAGTCCATCGGGATCCTAAGGAAACCGATCCGATTCTTCAGAAATCAATACGATTCCTTACGAAATCTACGGGATTCCTTGGGACATCCGTAGGATTCCTTCGGAAATCAAAAAATACGTTGGAAAGAACATGGTTCCGTGGGACAGCAATGGGAGTCCTTAGAAACCAGCGGGAGTCCTCAGGACATTCATATGATTCCTTCGGCAACAAAAAGGATTCCGTAAGGCATCCATAAGAATCCTTCGGACAGCCGTAAGATCCCGTCGAAAATCCGTGGGATCCCGTAGGAAACCAATGGGATGTCAAAGGAAATTCCTGGGATCCCTTAGCAGGCAGTCCTTAGGTTCCCTTTGGAACATGAGAAGCTTCCTGCGGAAATTCACGGGATTCCTTCAGCAAGCCGCATGATTCGTCAGGAAATGCATAAGAATCATTTGGGCATCAGTCATGGAATTCCGAAGGAAACCTATGGATGTCCTAAGAATTCCAATGGATTTCTTCCACAATCCTGTGGACTTCCTCCAAAATCTAGTAGATGTCCCAAGAGATCACATAAATATCCTAAGAAACCTCGTGGACGTCCAAATGAATCCGCTGGATTGCCCCCGGGATCCTGTAGATTTCGAGAGGGACCCTTTGGATGTCCCAAGAATTCCTCCGAATGTCCTAAAGATCCCCATGCATTTCCTGAAGAAGCACACGGCTTTCCTCCATAATCCTATGGATGCCCAAAGGAAGCACATGTATGATCTAAGCCATATTAAACATGTCCTAAGGCATCCTATGGATGCTTTGCGGAAGCCCATTTCGTTTTTGTCATTTGTATATGTATATATACATATATATATATATATATACATACATACAGACGTGCATACATGCATATATATATATATATACATACATACATACATACATACATACATACATACACACACATACATATATACATATACATACACACACCTGTATATACATATATCCTTCGCCAGACAACGCTCTCCCATTACAGCACATTTCTTGTGCGTGAGGAGCGGATCTGGCCGCAGGCTCCGATGCCACGAAAGGCCGACTGAACAGGCACCAGATGCGCCAGCAGGACGCAAAGGCACAGAAGCTCCAGGTGGATTACAAGAAGAAGCGAGAGAGGAGGGGAAGAAGGGAGGGAGCAACTCGATCATAAATATGGCACCGCGCGGCGGTGGCGAGAGCGCTGGACTGATACCAGGATGCCCGCTCGCAGAACTACAATCCTTCGCCAGACAGCGCTCTCCAAGGACAACACATTTTTTCTGTGCGAGGCGCAGATCTGGCTGCAGGCTCCGATTCCACGAAAGGCTGACTGAACAGGCACCGGACGCGCCAGCAGGACGTAAAGGCATAGAAGCTCCATCAACACGCATAATATGACTCTGGCCAGGGGCCGCAAAAACTAAGGATGAATCAGGGAACACATTTTCTACCACCAAACAAAAAAAAGAGGCTGCTTGCAGGGCAAATTTGCTGGGGCATGCGGCGGCGCTCCTCGTCATCTTCGAACCCCCAAGCACTTGGCGGCGGTAGCCAGTTCGAGAGCAGAGCCCCCTCTTTCCCGAGCAGATGCGACGGAGCCGGTCGAGCCCAGCGACCCGCCATCCCTGGGTGCGGGTCCGTTTGCGATACACAGCACCGCATTGGCAATAATCGAGAATGACCTTGGCGCTGCACAAACGTTCACAAAGGTTGGCAACGACAGGAATGTTCCAGAGAGCGGATCCAGCAGGGTTCTCGAGGAGTACAGCAACTCTGCGGCGCACGCATGCTCTGATCACGGAGATGGCGAACAGGGCCGTGGCGTTGCCGACCTCGACGCGCTCGCGGTCGGCGGCGCGCGCTAAGGCGCCTGGATGACCCCGGATACGATCGGCGTCTCGGAGCGGCCCGCCAGGGCGCCCCGCCTGCCCACGCCGCGCGGCGCTCCAGGATGAGCACGGAGTGCCAAGCCACACCCCGTCGATAAGCCCCTGCCTGATCCAGCTGAGCAGCACCTCCTGGACCGGTCTGAGAGCGAGGTCCTGGAGGTGGCAGTCGCACACCTCGACAGTGACGGCGGCGGCGCCGAGCGACCGCAGACACCCGGCGATCCGCTCGGCGCCGGCGAAGAAGTCCAGGAAGAGCCCGCCGCCCCGGCGCTCGCGCCTCGCCTGGGCCAGCTCGGCCGCCAGGCGCTGCTTCAGCGCCGCAGCCGCGTCGGGGCCAGCGACGGCACCCGCGGCGGCAGATCCCCGAGGATGAACGCCCGCAGGACCGCCTCGACCCTCTGGGCGAAGGCGAGCGCCCCCGCTGGGAGCTCGGCGCCACGGCCGCGTTGTCGCACCTGGGGCTCGTTACGCCGCAGGGCGCGCTGCCGCCCTAAAGGGGGCGCACCTGCGGGCGCACGACGCGGACCCCGGACACGATCGACACGTTGTGCAGCACGGACGCGAGGTGCATGGCGTCTGCCGACGAGGGGACCTCCTGCGGCGGCCGCTCCCTTAGGGTTGCCAGGAGGACACCTAGCCGTTTGTAGCCCCGCCGGTCCAGGACCACGATCTCGTCGAACACGTCGGTCTTGCTGCGGTACTTGAGCTCGCAAGCGCTCAGCACCAGCGCCCAGCGGGGCAACCTTCCGGCCCCCAGGACGGGCGACACGATCGACATCGCCGAGAGTCCCGGAAGTAGTTCCCCGGGCCGGAGGTACCCCATGAAGGCGACCAGCACGCCCACGGCGCCCTCGAAGTGCCCCAGCCACCGCAGGCCGTCGAGCAGCCCCCGCAGCCCGCCGAGCGGCCGAGGAGCGCGGCTGGGGGCGGCTGCGCCACCCCTGCACCGTCCGCCAGGCCCGCGGCAGCTGCTCCTGCGCGCGGAGCTCGGGCCGCTGGCGCTGCAGCACCGCAAGGAACTTGGGCCCGTCGTCGGCGGACTGGTCCTTCTGATGAAACCCGCCGAACCACAGAGACACAGCCTCGTCGAAGGAAAGCTGCTCCGGCTCCTCGCCCGGCCGGTCCACGCACTCCTTGGACCAGCCCAGGCGGCGCCGATGATCCTCCAGGGACGAAGGTCGCACGGGCGAGAGACGCAGCCCGCTCTGCTGCAGGGGCAGGGCGATGGGCGCGCCCAAGGCGAAGCGCCCGGCACCCCTCCTCGCCCGCTTCTTGCTCTGCGTCACACGCTGCCTCAAGACCAGGAGGCTCGCCTTGCTGCCAGATGTCTTCGGCCCTCTCGAAGCCGCGGGCCCCCTCTGGGTCGAGGGGCGCCAGGTCCCCGGGCGAGGGGGCGCAGTCACCGCCACTGCCAACTTCGTCGTCGGAGTTCGAGCCGAGGGCGTGGAGCGCAGCAAGATCGAGCTCTCGCCGCAACGACCCGCCCCCTGCTCCAGCTCTCCGCTCACGCAGATCCTGGTAGGCCTCGGCCAACCGCTCGAAGTCGATGCGACTCGGTGCCCGGCGCCCTCTCGATGGAGCGCCCGCCGGGTTCAACTCGCTCGGCACCCGGCGCACGTGGAAACGACAACCGCCGAAGAGCAAGAGGGCCGCGACCTCCCTGCAGGCGGGGAAGAGGCGCCGGGATCGCGCCCGGCCTTTCGCCAGCGACAAGGCTAGAGCCAAATTGTCCACGCGGAAGAGGGCATGCCGACAATGGTGAGATTGGAAACGAAGGAGGTGTCGAACGGCCATGAACAGCGCCCTGCACTCCACCCCCATGATCCCCCCCTCCTCGCGCCAGCGCCCCAGAGCGCACAGCTTCCACGGGGCGTTAGCGACCGCCGTTGCAGGCACCTCGTCGAGCGGCGCGCCCTCCCAGGGCTCCGCATCCGTGGCCGACCGAACAGAGGGGTTGAGGCGCAAGTCGTCGAGGCCGAGTGCGAGCACATCGGGGCGCAAAGCGTGCCCCCTGGCATTGGTAGCCTCCTCAGCCCGAAACCTCCACCTCTCATCGCATCGCCCAACGAGCGCGGCATCGGGGACGCTCCACCGAGCGCGGCACACGCCAAAGCCCTCGGTCGACGCGTCGCTCACGTGCACCAACTCACTCCAGAGCATGCGCGCGCTATGCGACAGCATGGGCAATAGATCGCGGATCCAGCGCAGCTCCCGGCAAACGGCGGGCCACTGACGAGTCACGGCATTCAAGTGGGTCTCGGCGAAGCTGCAACACGCGTCGACAATCGACAGGGCCTCGCGACGCAGGAGACTCGCCCAGGTGAAATGACCGATCAGCTTACGCATCTCCCCGCCGCTCGCCTTCCCGGTGCCCAGGACGAAATCGATGGCCAGCCTCGGCCTCCAGAAACTCCGATAGCTGACCCCGACGACGCGCCTGGTCCCCTCGAACGAGAGCCCGGTGAACTCACAGGACGCCGACCCAGGGGGCACGTCGTGACAACCTTGCCCGAGACTCTGCAGAACGCCCCGAGCCTCGGAAACCCGAGACGTGGCAATATCGGGGCCCGAGGAGGCTACTGCAAAGTTGTCTACGCACACTGCGTGCTCAACAGAACTGCTGGGGAAAAATTGAGCGGCACCCCGATCCGAAACCTCGCCCTCGCTGCCCAGGCCTATCGTGCGCATTCCAGCGGCGACGGCAGCCTGACAGAAGAACAAGGCCCAAGACCACCCCATGGGCAAGACGCGGAGGCGAGGCGAGCTGGAGGGCCCGAGCCGAATGCGCTCCTCGGCCGTCAACCCAGGGATAGAATCGGTTTTGACAGCGGGCAGAATGAAAAAGTCACTCATCCCGGGCCCCAGGGCAATCCTGGAAAAAAGCGGCCTGGACGTCGCACTGTGCTATGTGAAGCGGCCGGCCCTCTTCGACTTCGATGCGCCCCCAAGATCCACTCGTGGGCAACACTGTTTTCGACGGGGGCCGAAAATGTGAATTAGCAGCACGGGTGTCAGAAAATCATGCGAAGAGAGGAAGAATATCCCTACGACGGCAGGGCGAGCGAAAGCGAAGTCCACAATGCCTCTCGCACGGAGGTCTCTGAGAAACTCGCCATACACCTTATGTATCTTCACAAGTGCCGGGTCGGAGTAGACAGAGGAAGAGGAGAAATCCACGCCGGAGGCGGCCCCGCAGCCCTCCTCGCGGAGCAGCCGAGATCTCCACTCCGTCCACATATCGAGCTCCCGGCCGCGAAGCACAACAGACAAGTCCGCAGGCTCGGAAGATGCCGGGGGCAGCGAGACAGCGCCCGCTCGGCACGGAGATGGAAGGCCCGCAGCGTCGGCTTCGAAGGCATAGCCGGCGCGGGCGCCGCAGAGCTCCTGGAAGGCTCCCGCGGCGTCACCTATGTCGAGCGGAGGCGGCCCAACTGCCTGGTCGGCCGCCTTCATTCGCTCGAGACAGCCGAGCTGGCCGGCTGACAAACGAGCTCCTGCTGACCTGTCCCCGCCGCCAGGGCGACCAAAAAGTTCGTGAAGTGCAGAAACGCCTCGATAGCACCAGGACTGCCAATGCTGCTTGGCCTCTGCGCGTCTCCTCGCCGCGCGGCAGCCCGAGCTCTGGAGCCCGCGTGGAGAAGAGCTAAAGAGAGGAGGACAAGGGGGAAGCTCGCGCGGCAGGCTCTCCGAGAAGTCACCGCCCGGCATCCGGCCCGCGACGACGCTGACTCGGGCTGGATCCGCGCCAGAGCAGGCGGTGAGCGGCCGAAAGAGAAGGCGGCGGCCTGGCCAGAGCCGACGCCTGCGCTCGCTGGACTAGGCCTTCTCGCCCTCGACAGCCTTTCGCTTCTCCTAGGCTCCCCCGCGCTCCGTCATGGCCTGGCACTCGTTCGAGAGCTCCTTGCCAACCCAAGTCTCCTGCTCTGGCGCACCGCAGAGCACGCCACGAGTGGCCGAGCGCCCGAGGTAGAGGCGGGCGTCGTCGAGCGGTTCGGCAGCGACGACCACGTTGCCGAGGTTCTGGGAGCCCCGGTTGGTGAACTTCTCTGCGTGCTTCAGCCCGATCAGCTGGGCTCGGCGGCAGGCGAGCCCCCCCTCCAATATGCGGCAGGTCGAGCATCTCGTGTGCAGCCGCGAAGTACAGCCACTCCATGGCCATCGCGTGCTCGCCGACGCCGACGACCGACAGTTGCAGCCCCCCGTCCAAAAGGGAGCGCGAGTGCCGCTGCTCGGGGGTACAGACGTTCCGCGATGGAATTGAAGACGAACAGGACCGTGCGAAGGTCGTTCACAGGCCAATCCTCCCAGCTGGATTCGGAGAAGACGCCCCGCACCAAAGAGACCAGCTCGGGGTTCCCAGTCTTCTCCAGCGGGCCCTACAACCAGGCGTGGTTGTCCGCCTTGTGGCGGAGGGTCCGCTGAGCGCGCCCCGCAAGCCTCCGCGCCTTCTCGATGTCGTCCTCGGCACCATTCACAAGCTTGGGCTGCGGCACCGCGTCCCCACCGAGCACCCGAGGGCCGACCGCCTCTCGTCGTCGCAACGCGCCCAGCGCTCCTCGGTCACCCGCTCCACGTGGACCGGCGTGCCGCCGACGAGGGCGAGGTCCTCGGCCCCGCAGGACACCCGCGGCCCCTGGGTCCCCGCATCGAGGTCAAAGCCCTCGACCGCCTGCTCCCCGCGTGGTCGCCTGGCCAGCACGATGACCGCGAGACACCCTCGGGCGGAGGCTCGCCGACGCCCAGCTTGCTGAGGTAGCCCTCGCCACTCTGCATTAACTCGAGAACCTGCGAGGATGGGATGCCCCCGTCCGTTGTCCTCCCGTCGCAACGGAGGCAGGCGTCGCACTCCGCAACAGCCGCAGCGCGCGCCCGCCCGACCGGCAAGCCGAGGACGTCCGAACACATTGTGCTGTCAAGGTACACCTTCTCGTAGATCTCGAAAACTAGCGTCGCGATGACCCGGAGTACTAGGCTCATCGAGGCGCACCCGCTCAGCAGCCGCTCGCGGCACCAGCCACCGCCGCGGTAGCGCGCCAGCGCCCGATCTCCGCGCCGACGGGCGTCAGGCGCCGTTCGAGAGCGGCATGGGCACGGATCCGCTCCTGCGCTGCACGACGCGCCGCGAGCGGCAGGCCGACCGCCTCCGCCGACGCGGGCGGGGGAGCGCCCTCGGCACCGCCTGGCGGCTCCAGGGTCTGCCTCAGCTCGAGGGCGAGGTAGACGTAGCACGCACCCGCGCCACGCGCCGCGCCCAGGAGGCCCGCGGCTGTCAGGGCCAGCAGGCCCACGGCCCCCGGCTAGCCAACCGGGCAGTCGCAGCTCCCGCGCGTCACCGGCGGGCAGGTCAGCACCGGAGTGGCGCAATTGAGCCCGGGGCAGCGGCTAGGAGACGGGCAGACCAGCGACGGGCAAGGCGGGCAGGCCTCGCGCGTCTGCGACAGCACAACCGCGGCAGGCGGCAAGATATCGCGGACGATCTGAAGGATGTCTCTGACCTGATTCATCCGCGAGCGACTTGGGAATAAATATGACACCGTGCGGCGGTGGCGAGAGAGCTGGACTGATACCAGGATGCCCGCTCGCAGAACTACAGTATAGATATATGTATATATGAATTTGTGTATGTATGCATATATGCATATATACATGCATTCATCCATACATACGTACATACATACATTCATACATACGTCCAGGGGAAGGACGGAGAGGAAAAGGGGGGGAGGCGGAAACGCAGGCGGAGCCTGTAGAAAAGGGAAGCGCGACAGGCAAAGCCTGAGAAGGTGAGAAACACACGATGCGGCATCCATCTTTGCACCAGAACACGAATTGACAAAAACCACCACGTCACGTTCGATGTCAGTTCGGACGTATTGCAAACCAACAAAATCTCAAACAACCCTCGATCGAGGGCTTCGCACCGAAGTAAAACCTCATCCCGCAAGTCGGGAAAAATATCCTCAATCTCCAAAGGGCGGGCCGGGATGGGCCCAGAGTTGCTATGGGGCGAAGGATGATGCATGAGCTGATAGATCAGGCACTAGAAATTAATACCCATTCGCAAGCTTTCATTCAATCGCAATGTACAACGACGAGCCTGCCTCTGGAAAGCCTCGAGAACCCACCCACCCAACCCCGAGGCACCGCCCCCGCGGCCCAGGGGAAGGACGGAGAGGAAAAGGGGGAGAGGCGGAAACGCAGGCGGAGCCTGCACAAGAGGGACGCGCGACAGGCGAAGCCTGAGAAGGTGAGAATCACATGATGCAGCATCCTTCATTGCACCAGAACACGACTTGCCAAAAGCTGCCACGTCGCGTTCGATGTCAGTCCGGACGTGCTGCAAACCAAAATCTCAAACAACCCTCGATCGAGGGCTTCGCACTGAAGTGAAACCTCATCCCGCAAGTCGAGCAGAAAATCCTCACTCTCCAAACTTCAATCCGCTCTGAGTACCTGAGTGTGCCAATCTCCGCTTAGCGACTCCTTCTAAGTTAAATGGCTTTGCCCACCTCAGAGCCACCACCCGCATGCGCACTTCAACCATTCAAATTGGGCGAACGCACCTCTGCCGACCCGAAACCACCAGGGCGGGCGAGCGGTGGAAAGCTGGAGCACCTCCTGTGCCTTGAGCGGCGATCTCATGGCTGTCGCGTCAACTGCAGACTCGATAGCATCTCTGACTCGGGCTGCGATGCGCTCGAGTTCTCCACCCGGGTCGGCTCCAGCCAGGGGCCATTACGGGTTAGCCCATTGCAGCTCAAAGCCCAGTCTCGCGAAATAGAAGCGGATAAGCAGGATCTCCTCAGCCGCCAGCATAACCTCCCGATCCCAGATGAAGAAGCTCTCAGAGAACTTGAACTGAGCCGAGGTCCTGGCCGCCGACGACGCTCTGGGAGACACTGCCCGGATGGAACTCCACAGCTCCACAGCGAGAGCCTCTGGCACCACCAGTAGTCCTCGCTCGAGCTCCTCCATCATGTTCGGGCGCGAGACGGACATCGATGTCCACGACAACACGGCCCCCAGTCACGTTGAGCCTGCATCACAAGAAGTCGATGCCCGACCAGGCCTCGTCGACCAGAGATGCTGAATTCCGTGTCATCGACAAAGCCACTCCACTGACGGCCAGCGTGAGATTTCTGGCCGCCAACGCCACTGCACCTCCAGCTCCTGCCACATCCTCGACCAAGGCTGCCGCTGCCTCGGCGCTCCTGGACGTGTCAGGGAAGCCAGCAGACGGCGTGGAGACACAGATCACCCCGAGGATGATGACGGGAAAGAAACACGGGCCGAGCCAAGGCCACAATATATTACTGCAGTTGGCAGCCATCTTCATGCAGCTGACCCTCTGAGCGCGCTGCTGCTGCTGAGGTCTCTGCGGCTGGGACACAAACTGCCCTGTGCGCGGCAGGAGGGTGCTTGCCTGGTCCGCGGGCACTGCTGAG